GGATTCGAACCCTCGACCCACAGATTGCGAATCTAGCGCTCTAACCACCTGGCCATGCCGGGCCCTAACGTGTTTACGATCTGAGATAAAACTTCGAGTGACGTCTCTGAAGTCTTTATGATTTTATTTGTCCGCCAACATGTTCGGTGTAATCAATCTTGCGCTGAGAAAACAAAAACCCTACAATAATATCTATGTGGTGGACAAAAATGTATATTCACGTGCATGTGTTGACTTATGGATTAACGAAACTATGATACATGACTCTTTCCAAACAGTTATTTCAACTTTACCAGTGAGTTGTTTGTTGGGTTGAAGTGTAGTTTTCATATCTCATTGAAACAGGCTGGATTAGAAAGGCTGAGGTGATTTTCGTTCTTAAAAAACGACTCACAATTTCGAAAGAACAATGTCAAGATTGAAATATCTTACATGATGTCATCTCGGAAACAAAAGCTGCTACTAAATGCAGCCAGACTCTTCATCAAAGCGATTTAGTTTTTATGTTTAAATCTAAATACAAAGAGTAAAAGACTAAATTATCCCAAAAGACATTAAGCTGTATTATCTGCCGCTTCAGTAATTTTTAGCGTAAATAATTTGGTTAAGATATTTGACTTGTGATTCGTACCTTAAATCAAACTAAGCGTCAATGAATAACTTATAAATCCGATGAACCCGTGGGGAGACAAAGAACAGTCTTAAATAAATCTAGGTTCTTGTGATTAAAATTACACAGTTTATAGTTGTAGTATCCGTGCTTTTTCACACGTTTTCAATTTCGAACATTTATTTTTAAATCAAATAGATCCAGTCTGCATTTCGACATTCTAAGTGTTCAATAGGTTCTTAATAATTTTACTCAGATTTCTATATTTCGATTAGCGGCGATGCTTACTTATTAACGTAATAATTGGAGACGTTAAGCAGGTTCCAGATGACCACAAGGCACTGTAATACTTGCCAATGTTGAATACATTACAGATGACCGCGAAATAATGTAATAGTAGAATTATATATTTTATATTGATTTTAACTCAGCAAGACATTCTATCATCTGACCTAGAAACTAATTAGATTCCAACTGAAATGAAATATTGGACGTGGAGGTTTTGAAGAAATTCCAATTGATTACGAGCCATTTTATTATATTGGACAAAAATATAGGTTTTGAACAAAGTTCCAAGTGACCGCAAGGTACAACAATACTTTGAATATATTCTAACTGATAACGACATACATTAATATTTGACTTTAAGGTTTCGAACATATTCTAACCCACAACAATGCTATGTTGAGCCTTTTTTGTGTGTGAAGAGATGAATCTCATGAAAGTGCGTACTCAACAGACTTTTCTATGGTTTGTTTGTTTGTAATTAAAGACAAAGCTACACAAAGAGCTATCTGTGCTCT